TCACAACTCTAAACAATAGCATACCTGCTTTTCCTTAAAACTGCCATCCTACTTCACTATGGCTACAGAAACACTCTATGTGTACTTTTCATCTAGTCACACTGGATATTAAAAAGATGTGTACTTAAAAAAATTGAGATTTAATTAAATTAACATTTTTTCTCCTGCTTCCTGGTGGGTATTTTTAAGGTGCTGCTGCCTTGATTCATGCTAAGGTGCCATCACTTTTACTCATTATAGTTTTTTACACCATCAGTGCAAATTTTAACACAGTTTTGCTTCTTAGTGTTATTAAAGAAATAGTTTCGTGTGTGGGAAGGCCTTGAAAGGACCCTTAGGCAGGTCTTGAGGGTCTCCAGAGTTTCAGACCACAGTTTGAAAATTGTTGTTTGTCCCTATGTTCCATTTGTATGATGTTTAACTTACCCCTGAAACTAATTTGCATGTCTCTCTCCCTTAGTAAACAGAATCTCTCACCTTGAGTCCTCAGTATGAACATGAGCTATTGTACTGGATTGGAAACTACACAGTAACTAATCATAGGGGCTGTGCAGGTGCTGTTATACTAAATTAACTTAGGTTGCTTTATAGGTAGTAATTCAGTTTGCCGTGCATCTCTACCCTCCTATCAAGTTCTAGCAGCCACGACCACTGATGTACCAACCATTTTCCTAGGTCTCTTCTTAAGAAGGATGAACATTGCTGAGGAAACCAATTTACTGTAATAAATGTTTCTTCACTAGTTTAATCTGATAAATTCTCTCCTGAAGGTGCATCCGTGCTTTTTCTTGAGTAAAACTACTGTTGTTTAGTGATAGCTTTGCCTCTCTTCCTAATTTGAGGCTTGTATCTCACTTACTTCTAGAGATATAATTTTATTCTGGATGCTTAAGCTGCCGGAAATCTCTCTACTACACGGAAGAAATTACTGTATTATATGTGTTGTTATTTGAATACCTGGAATTTTCTTAATTTCTAGGTAGTCTTTGGAAGAAGAGTTGTCAGTTGACTTTGGAAGAGTTTTTCATCTTTTAGCAAGGACTTCCTGGCTTTGGGTCTGTACAGCAAAAGGTGATGCAGTGTGTCCAGCCAAACAGAGGACGAGTGAAACAGAAACTTAATTTTGAATTCCTATGTTGGACAAATTAACATGGCAACTTCAAAAATTGCTTTCTCTAAATATTCTGTCAATAGATGGGAAATGTAATCACATGTATGGAATAGTTGAAGTATATTTGACTAGAAATAAAAGTAATCTAGACTCAGTGTCACCTTATATTGTGATTCTTTACCCTATTTCAGTCTTCGTATGTTACTCTAGAAAGTGTATAACACCCATACCCTAGGAGATGTCACTGTTAAAATTTTATAATTAATACCAAAATAAGCTTGCAAGTCGATGCTTTAAAATCATTTGAGCTCATTTTTCTGGTGAAAGAAATCTTTTTTGAAGAATGTGCATAGTCCACTTAAATATTATTAAAAGTCAATGAAAATATGAAAAACAACATAATTACCCATGGTACCATGGACTCAAACAGCTATTATTTTAAAAATCTTATATTTTCCTTAAGATTTTGTCATGAATGCCTGATTAATTTATCACCTCTAACTATTTTTAAAAATCATTTTTTCTTTTATCATTTGCTTTATTATTACAGGCATAACTCATTTTATTGTACTTCACAGATATTGCATTGTTTTATTTTACAAATTGAAGGTTTGTGGCAACCCTGTGTTGAGCAAGTCTGTTGGTGCCATTTTTCCAACAACATTGTGTTCACTTTGTGTCTCTGTGTCACATTTTTTATGGTGATCTATGATCAGTGATCTTTGATGTTACTATTGTAATTATTTCGGCGTGCCACGAACTGCACCCATATAAGACAGTGAAGTTAATTGATAAATGTGGTGTGTTCTGACTGATCGTTTCCCATCTCTCCCCCAATCCTCAGGCCTCCCTATTCCTGAAACACAATAATATTGAAATTAGGTGAATTAATAACCCTACAATGGTGTCTAAGTGTTCAAGTGATAAGAAGAGTCAATCAATGTGGCAAATTTCACTGTTATCTTATTTTAAGAAATTGCCACAGCCACCCCAACCTTCAGTAACCAGCACCCAGATTAGTCAGCAGCCATTACCATCGAGGCAAGACTCTCCTCTAGCAAAAGGATCATGACTTACTGATGGCTTAGGTGACAGTTAG